CTTGGTAATAAATGTTTATTCAAACACACGAAAGAAGGTACGCGCAGCGAATTTACTCCGTCCGGCAAAGCCGAGCCGTATAACAGAAGGAAGCACGCCAGCGTCAGCCGGCGGGGCAACTGGTGTCAAATGTATCTGTGACTCTCGGTGATCAAGGGTATGGCGGCTTGTGCACTCTGAAAAACATAAAAGTACGTTGTGCTCGAAGACACGCTCCGCCCATTGTAGGTGAGTCTCAACACATCGCAGACACGCTCAGCTCACGCCAGGGACTTTTTCAGGGACTTTTGTGTGATCTCTCGAGAAGCGAGTCACTGAATTCTTTGCAAAGCGCCACCAATCTCAAGTATGCCTCGCCCATTGCAGGTGTGTCTCCCCAATCAGTCTGTCGACAGTTGCTAACCTTACTCTACTTTCATCCCATCTCTAGGGCCGCTCTCGAGCCAAATTATGAATTTTTGTCTGCGACACCACCATTTCGACGCATGTCGCGCCCACTATGGGCGGGGCTTAGCATAGGCCATGTGTGATCTTTACATCTTGTCCCATGTCACATCCTAGCATTGATCCGACCTTTCCAAGTTGCTCTTCAGGTAGAACCGAACTTGCGCACAGGACAAACAGACAAACAATTACACATACAGCCTAGCAAATTATATTTTAAAATTATATATAGTGGGAGATACTAAGAATAATCCAAGTACTCAGTACACTCGAAATCCCCCATGCGGTGGGCGTGGCTGCGTACTTCAAGTAAACGGCGCTGGCTGTGCTTTTGGTGAGATGTTTTCTTTTGGACATAATTGTCAAAAAGAAAACATCTCACCAAAAGAAGAGGTCATGAATCTGTCTGAAACAGAGCAAGATGACAGTTGTCTCAACGGAAATATCCCACGAGTAACCAATCTATGCTACGTTCAGTGCCACGCCTTCTCCGTTTCAGGGATAAGGATTGTACATGACCAACCATTAGCTCCCATATGGTTCGTTTGTGCCATAAGTGTTATGTTTATTGTCAGTGAAGAGTAGCTAAAACTGAGCAACCCTGTTTCCAGCTCCACGAGCGACAGTTTGGAGGAATGTGCGCTAGCAAACCCGTCACAAATGGTAGCCATCCGCCAGCTTGATCGTGGAGCTTCAGCACAATGTGGGAAAATTCCAAAAGGGCTCCTTTTTACGCCCTTTTACTATTTCTCTAAACTACAACTGATGCAACAAATGGCGAGCAACGAAGTGTCTTCTTTGATGCGAGTTCAATCCAGTGCTCATACCAGTTTGGGTGAAGGTGCGCTTCGTTGTTCTGTACCAATCGTGGCATGGGAAAAGAAGTTATTTTTTGCAGACCTCATTTCGTACTGCCAACAACCAACATTTCCATCAACAAAATCAATCGGGCGGAAAAATCCGAAGAGACATCGATGTGATGTTTGTTACAAAACGTTCAGCAGAAGCAACACCTTAATTACGCATAAGGTAAGATTGCACCATAGTACTGTAAAATTCCACCTGAAGAGGTATGCACGCTTTCTTTGTTCATAAGGGACACTAGAGCTTCACTGTTTATTGTACTTATCCACATGTAGCTAATCCTAACTGTCGCGACTCCTGAAACTGCTCGAAAAATCTATGCGGAATGTCTTTTACTGGGAGGCGGTCTTCAAGACCAAGCGGCGTCGCGTGCGCGGCAATCTGCAAACACCGCGCGCTTGCAATGGAGCGCACGCTCGCAGTAAACTCATTGGTTACTGAATCAGGTGCTGTTGGCTTCAGTTTTCAGCCACGGTCTTCATTCTGGGGGACCTTGATTGTCATGACCGTCAGGTTTTGTTTTATTCGTGTAACTATACTGATTATAAGCAACTATGGTGCAGAGAGACCTGTCCAGATTCTGCCCGCGAGTCAACCAAGCTTACCTGCTGATCCCTCATTATTTACAATGCTTTCTGGACAACACTCTCAGAGATTGTACGTACTGTCGCATTGCTGAGGTACGACGGACTGTCCTGCTAGAAAAATTGCAGCGAAATATCGCTGTTGCGACAATAAAACCATCGCGAGCGCGCGCCGATCGTAACCGTGCGGCATTTCAATTGTTGCACGCGACGCCGCCTGGTCCCACCGTCACATATCCGAAATTTCCTGGGTAACGCGACTTTAAATTCAATCCGCGATAATGAGGGTGTTAATTGTCTTGCTACATTCCCTTTTCTATTAGTGCTTCCAAGAATATATGGTTCTGATGGCGATAGGGAGGCAGCCTCGTTTCGTTGTCTTGTAGTTACCTCTTCTTGCTTGCTTCCTGCCGACTGCTGATTTCGTGCAATACGATGAAAGGTGAGATCACATATGAGCGAAAATATGTAGAAATTCGATGAGAATACATAAGCCACGGAGGTATAGCTATCCCGGTGGGAATCCCATTCGGTATTGTGAAAAGGAACCGATGGAACACATATTTGCTTCTCTTCTTACTCTTCATGTAGTACTTATTGAAGCATTTGTAAGGTCTGACACGAAAAGGCTTGCTGAGTTTGCGTTAGCTTTTACAAGCGCAATAGTGGAGCGCTCTCTTTTTAACAGAATAATTAGTGGGAGCAAAAATGATATAATCTGGGAAATTTTTCGTTTTATTCTACACAACTCAGTAACACAATGCAAGAATAATCAACAAATATTAATCCATCGTTAGTCATAGCAATTGTCGCCACTAAGCGCGGACAAGGTCGGGCGCGTTTCCCTTCTCCCAGAACTGGGGGATTTGGAGTCAAAGCGTCAATCCACCACTGTTAAGGTGGGTTTCGCAAGTTACCGAATCGTTTTTTTTTGCGTAGGAATTCCTTGAAGGGCTGGAACATGGTTGGTGCATTCTGAGGGGCATATCAGGTGATGTGGAACCGCTGGTCCCACAGCTATGCTCCTACACATTTTGCACGGGTCTCTTTACCTATGTGAGGCCTAGCGTTGTCATGGAGGAGGTGCACAAAAGTTCGTCTAGGCCGTTTTTCTCGAACGGCTTCCGCAAGTTTCTGCAGCTGACCAGCGTAATAGGAGCGGTGACGGTGTGGCCTTGCTTGAGCAGTTCGTACAGTACCATTCCCTTTTTAGTTTCCCAAAAGCAAGCAAAGGAGAACATTCTCTGGCGCGGGAGGTCGGGATTTTGGCTTGCGTCGGCGGCTGTCCAGATTGGCCGCGGCTGCTTGTTAGCGTCCTTACGAGGGTCCAGCTTTCATCTCCAGTAATTCCTCCAGAAAACTCTGCGATGTAGGGCGAAGAAGGACGAGACGACAAATGGATAGCCTGTTGGTGGGGCACACAACAAGTTTCGTTTTCGCGGCCAAAGGGACGTTGCGGGTGTTAATTCCGGATCCTCTTTGACGGCGTCGAGAATGACGGAGTCGTCGACGACGAGGGGCGTCTCGACCGAGGCTTGTCTCCGAAGTCCGTGTCTCCTTCCTTGAAGCGAGGAACCAGCGATGAACCGTAGCGCTGGAAGTGTTGTCGTCCTCCCATACGCTGTTGATGTTGCGAGCGGTTGCCGTCGCTCCGGTGCCGCGGCGCCACTCGTAGAAGATGATGTGTCGAAACATGCGTTCTCGGGTATTGACATCGATGTTCGTAATGGACTGAATGTTCTACCACTACCACATGGTAGATCATTGGTATCGATCAAGAATCGAAAGTTGTGGAACTTTAAAAAACCCCTACTAAAACTTTTTGATCTCAACCAATATTAGTGTGAGGCTCCAATAAGTTAACGCGACTTACAGGGTGCCACCACGACTCAATTTACCGTCCTTCTTGGGCTAACGGTCTCACGCAGGGCACAGCAGTTCACGGGCAGCACTGGTGCGTACATACAGTGCTATACACGAGTAAATTCATAAAAATCCATCAAGTGAACACATAATGTTAGCAGAAATACGGACCCCCCCTTTCGACGGGCCGAAATCGACCCCCCATAGGATCCCCAACCAATGCTTGTTGCCCTGCGGGTCACAGCACCCTACCAGGGTCAAGCATTCGAATAATCAACGGAGCGGCCTTACTTAGCCCCCCTTTCCTTAACCCCCGCTCTCCCCCCCCCTCCCGAGAAATGGGAGTTCGTGCTTTTGAGGATGTCAGGTTATAGCGGATATCTGTTTGACAAGATGAAGTGCGAGAAAAGAAAAAGTTCAATAGCGGGAAACTACTCAAAGTTGTCTACTGGGTGACTCAGTTCGGAAGGATTGCTTGTAACACTTCATACCTTCCAGACAAAGTTGAAATAGTAACAGCATAAATCGCAAGGGTTTATCTCATTTTCAACAGATGGCGTGTATCCTCACACCGACTTTCTCTGTTTTGATCTGGGCATAGTTGTTCGCCGGTCAAATTATTGTTGTATTTAAGCCGACCAAGATTGTTAACGTTTATTAGGCCAACGTTTCGGCTTCCTCGCCTTCGTCAGAGCCTGAAAGAGTCCGAAACAGTTGTGATTTGCTCTCCCAAACGCCTTAACAAAAACTGAAGACCCTTTTGAGAAACTGGTAAACAACCTAACGGTATCGATCGGTTAAGATGACTCGGCTTACCTTTGATCTCCGCCGCGGAGACGTGAGATCGACCACCCGGGCTTGCAGTAATGCGATGAGTGAGAATCCCCCTCTATCCCTCGACCTCAAACCTCGACCTCATGTAGATCAAAACCCACAAAGGTCGGAGAAGGGCGCGAGTTCACGGGTTATGACCACACATTCCTCTTTCCTATTCATTTTGGGGTCTTTAGCCGAAATCCACAATGCCTCCAATGTTTTTCGCGCTGCGATCTCCGGCTCCTGCGCCAGGATGGACACAGTCACCTGGAATCCCACACCATCATGAGAATGAACACGATGGGCACCCAGCGGAGTTTGGATTTGCGATTTTCGAAGACCATCCAGATGGTGTGTTCTTTAACCTCCGTTACGCGCAGAGGCCGTCCAGTTTCTCCTATATACTCACTACTGCATGCGAGGCAACGTATGGAATAGATCACTCCCGACTTCATGCAATCACCTGCTCTACCATATGGCGCCAAACCATGCACTCTGGCGTACTCGCATGAATATCGTTACAGGCGATTTCGAACGAGGATACGTTTTAGATTGTTCGGGGGATTTCTATCAACCTAACATCGTCTTGCAAGCCGCACTTATGCAAACTTGCTCGGATTACCTGGCTCACTTCATCTGATATGAACGGAAAATTGAAAGGCACTTCTGAACCCGAACCCCTGAGAACAAAGCAGGCACTTTGTCGGTGGATATCTCGTTGATGACTCTACAATGTTCGTCATATCCTTTCCGAGCTGATCTTGACCCCGGGTATCCGTTGGATACCGCGATATTCCGGGCCATATTGAGCGACTTCCTTTTTCAACGCCACATCAGAGGAGACTTTGTTCGCAGTTCTGAACATATTAGCCAGGACAGCTCGCTTTGTCGTCTTCGGGTGTGCCGAGCCGTAGTGGACGAGGATGTTCTTGTTACTCGGCTTACGATACCACTTAGTTCTAACCATGCTTCCCGATAACTGGATCTGAATGTTTAAGAAAGGAAGCCAGTTCTCTATTGGGATTTCCCTGGTAAATTTGATGTTGGCTGACTGTTTATTGAGAAGGTCGAAACACTTATCGATTTCGCCTTGCGTGTGGCATATTATCAGGCAATCATCAATATAACGGCAATAGAGAAGTGGTCTTCGATCCAGTACGGGTTTCTCGATCTTGGACATGAATGCTATGGCCAAGATCGCGTGCGAGCGCTTGTTCCCAGTCCCAGTCCCCGCAGATGCGCGAGTGTGCACCACGACTCAATTTACGGTCCTTCTTGGGTACGGTCACGGCACCCTACCAGGGTCAAGCATTCGAATAATCAACGGAGCGGCCTTACTTAGCCCCCCTTTCCTCAAACTCAGTTCGGAGGGATTGCTTGCTACACTTCATACCTTCCAGACAAAGTTGAAATAGTAACATCATAAATCGCAAGGGTTTATCTCATTTTCAACATATGCGTGTAAGTTACGTCCTCGTAAATGGCGACAACTTGCATGTGAAGGGTAGTTTCTCGTCACAGATGGGAAATCCTCAACGGCGAGTTTTCCTGAGAATTTCCACGAATGAAATTGTAACGTTCACAAGAGGGAAAATCTACCACTAGCTTTGTTTTTTTTTCTCCACACGGTCTTGTATTACCCAAGCTATAGTCCCTGGAAGGAAGTTTCCTCATTGATTCGGAAAAAATCCTCAACGTCGAAATTTCTCGAATAATAGGCTTTCATACAATCTAGGGCTTACTAGGGAATGGAAGTCTTTTTTCAACACTGGTATTCGTGTATCCTGACGTGTATAGTCGACGCTGTCGTCAATGAAAGGCTAAAAGCTCGCGTGCTCATGAAATTTTCATCTAATTCTCATGCGAAGCCGTGGAACCTTCTCCGAAGCTAAATTAATACCTATCAGGTGGAAGTTTCCAAAAGGTTGCTAGTGGCACCTTTCGCTTCGCTAAATGTTTCCGAAGAAAGCTTGCAACTTTTTGAATGCTTTGAGGTAGAAACCTGTGAATGTCGACAGCTGAAATAAGATCTCACTTTGTGCCTTCAAAGACCGAATTATTGTTTTATTCCCTTTTTGTTCAGTTAAAGAGAGGAGGCTATATTGGCGCACACTTTTAGGGGGAGAGGGTCATACTAAGGGGCCAATTTTCCTCAATGCGATGCTTGATGCTGTGTCTATAAATTAATCTACGTTATCTACGCCAGAGGGGCAGGATATCGCTTTGCTGGCATGAAACGAACAGGACCGGATAATTCGTCAAGAGAGGCTGCCACGTCGTTACTAGAGTGACCTAAATGATTTCTCTTTGCTTTTTGCTCTCCTGCAGAGTCACTTACTGACTGTAGGTTCGTAATTTCACGCACTTTCTATGCTTTGAACCACTTTATACAGCCGCGAGCATTGCCTTTGGATAAAAATGGTTGGAATAATTTTCTTACAAGTAGCGAATTTAGCAGAGTAGTTCGACTTGTTTTTAAAGAGGAAACGGAAATCAGTGAATAATTGGTTGCTTATTAATCTTACTGGAATTCAGCGGATACACACAGGAGAAAAACCATTCAAGTGCAACCATTGTGGTCGTGCCTTCCGCCAACCTGGCAATCTTAGTCGACATCGGCTGACACATACTACGGTGAGGAACTTCTTCTCCAATACGAGACTTTGTATTCACTGCTTATGTTTATCTTCCAGTTCAAACCATATGTGTGCGTTCATTGTGAAAAGGCTTTCAATCGAGCATCGAACCTCAACACTCACATGAGGACTCATGAAGAAAAATAACTGTGTAAGGAATTT